AAGACAGAAGCCAGGAGAAGGCAGTAGAAGACAGACTAGAAGAGAAGTCAGTCATAGTTCAGATCAGAATAGAGATCAGGTCACATCAGATCAGAATTAGGCTGAAGATTTATTGTGCTATTGTACCTGATTGTGTTGTAAGAGATTGTAAGAAAGGTGTTAACAAATCCAATCATCCAATCCAAAAGCAGTTATTATTAATAACGCATCATAAACTCGTAACAATAAGCAAATATACGTTACTGGGTAACGTCTTCGCAAAAATATCGTTCCCACGGAAACGATTGGAGTACAATGAACGGTGTTTTCTACAAATTCCGAGCCTACATGCTATACCCCAGACAAGTTGAGAAGTTAGTCAGTTGTGAGTCTGTGAAGAGAATACTTGGTCGGTGCAGTTGAAGAATCTGCATTGTTAGAAGCCGTTACCAGGGAACGACTGGTGAAGGTACGGCAGGCTGGAAAAGAGTCAGGTGTGCTGCAGTTATCTGTAAAATATGGAGATTAGCAATGGCGCTATAATTAAGTGTAGTTACAAGTCGTGTGTTAAAGTGGTCTGTAAACTCAATCTCCATTCCAAACCCCGTCTAAAGTCACGCACACTCGTGGAAGTATTAAAAAATATTTTTCACGGCCTTAAAATAAACAATATAATGCTAAACTCCAGTTTTTAGATAGAAGGTGATGAGTGAAGAATTGTTAGCTGAGACATTCAATTTGCAAATGCCTTCGTTTTGCCTAATGGGGCTATTCTGATTCAGCACCTGATGTAATTACTAAGCAGGAAACCCCATCTCTTCCCCTTCCGAAGTCAGTCCCTGTCAAAATGTTTTAGCTTAATCCTTAAGCTAATAGAGACGTCTGTTCCATGGTAGGGCGAGCAACGAGTGGGATGATGAACGCAGATTTATAACTCTCACAAACATCTACGTTCGTGACGAGATACGAAACCACGATCCTGTGTTCGAGTTGGTAACGTCGTGAATGGTATAGATCGCTCGGTTACTGTGAGCAGTATATTTGATGCTTTAAAGCTGAACTTTCATGATTACAAAATCTTGGCTATATATAACCATATGCGAGATAATCGCAGAATTTTAATAGCATTAATGGACTATATTATCACGTGTGTGTGATAGTAGACGGGGTTTGAATTGGTAATTGGATTTATTGATCACTTACAGGTCGTAAAAAGAAGTAATTATGGTGCTGTCACTAATTCACACACTTTACAATTCTCTATAGCACACACTAAGTTATTTTGGTCTGCTGTGTCTTCACCAGTCCTTGCCTGGTAACGGCTTCCAATGGTGGATGTTCCCCTTACTCTGGGTACTCGAATTATCCCAGTGCCTCAGCTACCAGCTTCTAAACAGCAGCGGCTCACAAGGATTGGACAGAAACATTCCTCTAATTAAATCACTCACTCAGTAACAAACTCGCTCCATTCTACTATACTGCACTGCACTGCACAGTACTAACTTAACTGAACGAGAGTCTATGTTAGACGGTTAGTCGGTCAGTCTGTCTTGAAGTAAAGTACCCATCTGGGGCTTACGACCAGATTTTTATTACTGTCAGACAGTTGCGTGTTTCAAAGTCAAAGTTAAAGTCACATTGCGACTGATGGTCATTCAATCGGTAAGTCTTGGTGTCGAGCCCCCATATGGAGCTCATGATCAGATATTCATTACTGTTTGACAGTTACGGTCTTGTTTTTGTAGTGTGCCATCTCTGACGAGAGGACAGGTCTGGCTTTTGTATATGCTGTTGGTCCTCGCCAGCACAGTCTTTCTCGGGTCCGAATCCCTTAGGACACGCGACCATATTTTGTTATCTCAGATTTGAGACTTCCCTTTTCGTCGCCTCCTACGACTCGCAGGGTCACGGTGGAAGTATTCGACCCCGCCTCTACACGGGTAAGTTGGTATGAAGTTTGCAGGATATCAGCCCTGTTAGCACACAATTGTCGTCATATTTTCATTTTGCTTCTATGAAATCACAAACCTTCCACATTAGGCAAACAATCGACCCGAACCGATAGCCACGATCAATGTCTGTGAGTGTCGCACAAGAACCTAGTTCACCTACCCTCTCCGACAAGTGGGTGTTACCCGTGACGTTTTCTCTCTGGGCCCTCGCGCGTTGTTTGCCACTCATGAAAATATTCTTCATATCGATCATAAATGGCTCACTGGTAAATAGGTCATCCGGTGACATCACAAAAGCTTTCATGCTTGTGGCGTCATCTCCTGCCAATTTTACTTGTCGTACTTTAAAATTATTCCTCGCTTTTATATCGTCAGCTCACTGTTAGTATTTGGTTACCATAAGACAAAGAAAGACGTCACCACTGCAGCATATGAAAGAACTGCGATATATAAAAATATTTTGGAATTAAATTATTATTATTATTACCTGTTTAGCTCATTTTAAACACTGAAGATGGGACGAAAAGTTCCTGCTAAACGTACGTTGATCTTCAATTGACTCCACGGCGTTATATTCCAGAAGGTTGACCTCTTTATAACCACAAGAGACGTTTTATGAAAAGTGTGAAGATATCGTATTATTCCACACCCTATAATCGCTACCTAGCTCCACATGTAGGGCTAAATTGGCAGAAGATTTAATTTCTCAGGCTTTGCTTATTTCGGATGGAAATGCTGAAGTGTGTATTTTCTGCTAGAAACAATCCTGAAGCTATATTACTAAACCGTGGGAGATGTTAAACTGCTGGGTCCCTATTTGTTGCACCATGGTTCATTTGAATATTTATACGGACAATCAGTAGCGTAGTTGCCTCAGACTCTGTACTACAAGCCGGAAGGTCGCGGGTTCGAGTCCCGATGAGGTGGATTTTTTTTCCAATTGACCTAATCCTTGCAGCCACATTATGGTACCGGTTTCGACCAGCCTCTAACAGAAATGAGTACCAGGAATCTTCCTGGGGTATAAAGGGCGACCGGCGCGTAAAGCTGACAAACTTACAGCCATCTGTGAGCCAGTTGTCTAGAAAAATGTGGGAGCCTCGACGTCTCACAGCCTTATGGGCCTTTACGGTCTGTTACAGGGATAGCTTTTATTGTCCCTGAACGACAAGAAGTGAACAGAGAAAGCGACTGTCTAGTATTGGTGGGTGCCAATTTTGTACATATTCCCAAACGGCTTCGTGAAGTTATAACATTCACACAAGTTCGTATGTGTTCTTTATTTATATCATTAATATTCAAGTGTTTCTTCTTCCCACATAAAGCAAACCATGTTGCGTGAAGAGGACCGAGACAGGTAGAGTGCACGAGGAACAGGATAAATGTATACAGAAGTTTAGTTAGAAATCCTGAATAAAGATACCACTTGGAACACTTAGGCGCAGGCGAGAGTGTCGGTATTAGAAAAGGATGTCGGGAACGGATTGGCTTCAACTCGTTCAGGACAGGACCCAGTAGTGGGTTATTGCGAATGTGGCAATTTAAAGTTTGGGGCCCATAAAACGCTTGTCGTTTCTGAACGCGAGAAGAAACTGTCAGCTTCTCAAGAGTTTAGACCTTAGCCAGAAACCTGGTTTCTGTCACGCCTGCTAAGTTTCATAATTTATGATACAGAATTCCTCTACCCATCTTCATGCTGGCGTTAGTCAGTGGCCTGGTTTCTGTCACAGATGTCGAGTTTAATAATTTGTGATAGAGAATCCGTAAGTTCATCTGGATGGTGGCATAGCGGTAACACTCAAGATTCGTATTCAAGAGGTACAAGGGTCGAATCTCCTGATCAAGATTTTTCTTGATTTTCGTCAGTTCTCCGAAGCAACTGCCGGGATAGTACCTCAATTGGTTTCAGTCATTTCCTTCGAAATTCTTTCAATTAATTATTCGTCTGCCAACCTGCCGTTGGATGCTGTATGGTCTAGCTACTGTGACGTGTATAGTCGTTGCTAGGCAATGACTTGCTAAACACATTCCGGCAGAAGCAAACGCAAATAACAGTAGGAAATATATTGCTAGGCAAAGGCACAATAAACGAGGAACTTCATAACTTATACTCTTCTCCAAGTATAATTAGAATGATCAAGTCAAGGAGGATGAGGTGAGCAGGGCATGTATCACGAATGGGGGGACGAGGAATGCGTATAGGATATTTGTAAGAAAGCCAGAAGGAAAGAGACCACTGGGAAGACCAAGACATAGGTGAGTGGACAATATTAAAATGGATCTTAGAGAGATAAGATGGGATGAAATGGATTGGATTGATCTGGCTCAGGATAGGGACAAGTGGAGGGCTCTTGTGAACACGGCAATGAACCTTCGGGTTCCATGAAATGCTGATAAATTCTTGAGTAGCTGCAGAATTGGCGGCTCCTCCAGAAGGGCTCGGCTCCATGAGTAACTAACAGTAAGTAAGTAAAGGCGCAATAAACACGCCTCGTCAACATTAGAGGCTTTGTTTCCTGCGTGGTCCGTGCAAAGTGGTTATAAAACGTGTTCGGCAACATAGAGTAGTAGTAGTAGTAGTAGAAGTAGTAGTAGTGGTAGTAGTAACAGGAGCAGCAGTAGTAGTGGGGGAAATGAAGAGTCAACTTTCAGGAGGTCAGGAATTAGGCCATGAAACGAAGACTTCATATGTGATATGAAGTGACAGTGAGACAATGACACATCCGTTGCCAGGATACGACTAGTGAAGACCGAGAATCCTAGTGCGTGTATAACGGTGAACTATAAAGTATCTGATTCAGAAAACCCCTGTAATTACCTGTAGTCCCTAGTTTTAAATATATAATGGGCAATAAATCCAATCATGCAATCCAAAACACCGTCTATAGTTACTAATACACGTGGCTCTACTAAGAATGTCGTAAAATAACCCATAAAGAAATTCTGTTCCATTACGATGGCTGCTACAAAGAAGACGTGAGGAGTGGACTCTTAGCCCTAATGACTACGATGTTAATGACTACGAATCTGAATTCAGTCGAAGTTAATTAATTTTGTCTCCTATTACAGATGGGCAGCGTCATTCAGTGCCACATACTTCACCTCTCCGGTCGCATCAGAGCTGAAGAAACTCTTCTGTATGGTAAGCTGCATATAAGTATTCACAGTACACATTGACTTCTAGAGCTCTGTGATGACTGTAGTGTCAGTCCAGTTCCCCTACATAAGCCATGCTTAACTGTAGATTTCACTAGTTTACAATTCCGTAAGAACAAAAATTTTATCACGGATCTTTATTACTCTTGGTGCAATCTAGCGATGGGTCAGCCATGTAAAACATGTCAGAGTATTATAACTATTCAAAAACAATGAGAACAAAATAAGTATCCGTTTATTATTATGAGATAAATGAAAGTTACCTACATGAGCTCTGAGATTTTCGCAGCAGTGATTGTCAGTGTTTTGTTGCACCCTGTATAGGGAGTAAAACCATTCAGTTTTAGATTTATTCCGTTATTCTACGGAAGAGAGACCCAGACGTACAATATGCTAAGCTGATTTCTTCTTTAGTTTGGAGTGCTCTAGGTTTGTCATCATGTATTCCTTTTGGTGATACGAACGTTTCGCCACTGTGTCTCAGGCAGAGTTTGTCTTACTTACTGCCAGTGTTTTTGTTACCACCTTACCACATTTAACTGTAGAGGAAACTTCTTTTTGGCAGAATATGAATTCGGAATATCAAACATACGGTGTTGCTTACCCCTCCGCTTTGTGCCAAAATGTTATCGCGTGTATAAACCTGTGATATTGTAAATCCAGTTTGCCATTAAACTTGTCCACTAACTTTAATATTTCCTCTTGCTTTATCTAAGAACATGAAGATTAAAACGATAAAAACAGAATTTATCTGCTGTTATGTATCGAAAAACTTTATCTCTCACATTATGGGAAATTTAACGCATGATGCTGAGAAGAATATATGAACGTATAAGAGAGAAAGCAAGAGAAATCCATTGAATGTAGCATTTTAGGGAGTTTCACAATTTCTTGTATTCGACTAGTATTAAGAAAATAGTCAAATGAAGGAAAATATGATGGGGTTTTGTGGCGTGGCACACATGTGAGCGGAGATAAATGCACACGGATTTATGCGGGCACGTTTGGAAGGAAAATATCACTTCGAAGACCTAAGCATAAATGGGAGGATAATATTAAAATAGATTTTATAGAAATGGAATGGAACGCTGTGAAGGATTCATGTGACTAATGATATGGACCATCTACTCGCTCTTGTAAACACGGTAATGAACATCCTGGGTTCTATAGAATGATGAGAATTTCTTGACTATCTAGGCAAATCGGACTCAGATTCATGGAATTAGATTTTGCTCTCAACAGGAAAAATTCACTTCTATTTCTGTGTTCATTTCAAGACATTTCTTTTTCTGTTGAAAACTGTTCTCTGTGTCGCCCTTCAAGTACACTGATTTCTGTATGCCTTCATATTGAAAACATCCGCATTCTGCCCACAGAGTGTATTTATGGAATGATTCTGAGAATACAGTGAATTATTTCCACATACATTATTAACCGTTATGTCGTAATGGAGAGGCATCGTGCTTTCCTTGAGGTAGAAATTAAATTTAAAGTAGTATTTAAATTAGTTTAAGGCTGAAAGTGGTCAGATTGTTAAATTCAGGAATATTTTCAGTCCACAAAAAATACGCGGGTGCAGTGCAACTGCGCTGGGATCGTGAAGAATGAACGATTTAAAGAGTACGCTGATAATATATTCTGTGGGTGTCCAACTCCACGATTGTTTGATTATGAGAGGCGGGTTCTATATCCACATTTAAGTGACACCCACGACAATCCAACCATAGCCTCCTTTCGTCTACAAGATCGTCTAATCCTCATAGAAGCATGACTAAAGAAATGGAAAATCAAGGTAAACGAATCAAAGTCCACACAAACAACTTCACCCTCCGAAAAGGCACTTGCCCCACAGTGCAAATAAATCACATCAACATACAACCAAAAGAACAAGTCAAATACCTAGGATTAACATTTGACAACAAACTAAACTGGAGACAACACATAATCAAGTAAAGGAAACAGATGGACCAAAAAACCAAAGAACTCATAGGAAGAAAATCCCACCTCTCCATCGAAAACAAGTTACTAATCTACAAAACAGTCATCAAGCCTATATGGACATACGGCATAGAACTCTGGGGCTGCGCCAGCAAATCCAACATCGTCATTATGCAGCGTGTCCAGTCCAAAATACTCCGAACCTTCGCGAACGCACCATGGTATGTATCCAACCGCACCCTACATACCGATCTAAAAACTCCTTACGTAACGGAAGTCATCCGAGAGAACAGCACCAAGTACTTCAGCAAACTAGAAAATCACTACAACCCACTTCTTCAACCACTACTACAACCTCATGAAAATCGAAGACTGAAAAGAATTTGGCCATCAGATCTAACGAACTGAGGAAAACATCACTGGATGTTTATTCCGCTCACGCCAGAAGATTGTACAATAAATAGTTACAAATTGTACAGCAATGAGCACATTGACTAATAGATTGTACAGTCTGATTGTCAATAAAGGAGAGAGAGCAAAAACATTTAAGTGAGTTTTGTCTGGGTATGTGAATGTTGGGAGATTTACTTTATATAAGATATTTTTATTTCAGAAGGAACTATTCATTTTCTGATTTCAGAGTACAATGAAAATAATAATTTAGGATCATTCTGTACAACAAATACATGGCTACAAGAGTAATGCGATTCTAAATTATTATCGGGGTTTCCGGCGGGAGTTACGAATTACTCTGTGTACATTATTAAAAAGGCATGGATCACGGAAGTCAACTTTTACAAACTCAATATCTTTAGTCCGCAAACGAACTATACCGACCGAACGACCGTCGCTTGTCGGTGAAGTTAGTGCCAAATTTTGCGGATAGATGGTGTCGCGTTGTCAGCCCAATGAATCCCCACGGCCGTAATTTCGGTTTTCTAGACCGGAGCCGCTACTTTTCCATTCAAGTAGCTCCTCAGTTATCCTCACTAGGCTGAGTGGACACCGTTCACTACTTCTCATAAAATCTGGAAGCGCCGGGAATCGAACCCGGACCTCTGGATCTATAGCCATGAACTCTGACCACTAGACCATAGAGTCGAGTTTTACGTGAAAGATAAAAAGCTATTTTTGAATTGATTTAAAGGCTTTGCCGTGTTAAATTGAGATTCTTCTTGGGATGAACTTCTGAACAATGTACTTTTATCGTCTCCAATGTAGAGTTGCTCTTCTGTGCTAGTAGCATCGTCTCGGGCTATATGCCAACTCCGGCGGCTAAAAACAACAGATCCTTCAGAGTGCATCTCTATCACCATCATCAAGTTCTGATATCTGACTGACGTTTCAGAGAACATTTCTCTCGTCATCATCAAGATCTGATGTCACCAGACATTAGACGTCATACCATGAAGAAGGGGACACAGATTATCGCTGAAACGTCGATAGTGTTTAACAGACTGACACGGTTGTTAGCTCTGGAAATGGCTGTTGGAGCTTCAGATCTTTCGCTGCGAGAGGAAAGCAACGTCTTAATGATATTTGTGTCTAGAAGGAAAACATAGCAGAAATAGTGCTCAGTCGTGCAGTCAGATTTGTAGGAAAATAAATTAGCTGCTGTGGGGCCAGTTGATAGGAAGTGTAATTTGAATTGCTCACCCAGGCCCCATAACTTGGAAAATGATCTTAAATAATTTGAATTATGCCTAAGTGACACCTACACAGATGCTCACAACCCCACTAAAGCGTTGTAACTGCCCACAAACGAACAGTATACTATAATAGTAGTACAGTGTATGGAGTTGTCACACAGTAATTAACGTCACAACAGCTACACCTCTAAATGTCCATTTCCATATAATATTCCACAATAGTTTAAATGCATAGGAGAAGTTTCTAAAAACTACATGCTTAATGTAGACATATGTGTATATACGACAGAACAGGAATTAGATCATTGTAGATTTCTCGTATGAGCAGACTCACGTCTGTCCCGATCCAATCAATACAAAGTGTTCAGAAAACAACAGGTGAATAGTGAACAGTGAGTATTTTCAGTAAACCACGAGAGTGAACCAGTTCCTCCACATGCACCGCGTTACTTGGGTTTTGTTATCAGCATAACCAAGTCTGCATGTAAACACTGTCAGGTTTGAGGAAAGTTAACATATTGCCTTCACGGTCTGTCATCGCGTATGTGAAAATGTAAACTAGCGGGCAACAACACTATTCGTGCAATTTTCTTTGTATGGTTGCATCCTGTTTATGTTCCTTTCATGTGGAAAGAGGTAAAGTTGTCCCTGTGATAAATCAGTTAAGCACTATGCTTTGAAGATACATAGATGGAGTGGAGGTATATTTCCACAATATATGACCTCGGTACTTGGGGTGTAATTGGTCAGTTTCACGCCCCTGCCGCTTTACTCACAGGGAAAGAGCCCCTGGTATCCATTCGGTAAGCTTTGTGGGCCCCACAGCCGATCTGGACGTTTTAGAGAAGAGAAAGATCTTACCCCTGGCGGGAATCCAACCCCCGCCGTCCAGCCAGTAGCCCTTCACTATGCCTGCTGAAATATCCCTTCGTAATATTAACCGTTACACAAACTTATGTTAAGAAACATTCTAGTTTCTTATTTCTGACTATACACTGCATGTTTTGACCGTAAATATTTATAACTAGCTGAAAAATATAAATACACAAGAAGTATTTCTTAGCATAAGTTTGTGTGGCGGTTAATGGCACGATTTGAACGTTCACATGTCTGGAATTAAAAATTTAAAGCGAACAGAGGAGTTTAGTTCTCTTCTCAAAAGTCTGAAGATTGATCAGCCCAACTACCTCATGTCTGCTGTACTATATATTATTACTGTGTAATGCACACAAAGAGCAAAGCGTTCTTTTGTCCGTATCGCCCGCATTCTCGTAAAGGATATACAAAAACAAACTCCGTGGCTTGAGTCCGCAAGCGAACTATACCGACCGACCACCGCTTGTCGGCGAAGTTAGTGCCAACTTTAGCGGATAGAGGATGTCGCGTGGTCAGCGCAAAA